CCTTCATTTATCCTACTAACCATTAAATGCCCCAGAATTATCAGTTCATATTTCTGAGCAACAAATCACACACTTTGATATTCTAATAGAAGACAGACAAGTATGTGCCACCACCCCAGCCCCACTCCCCACAGACTGTGATGGATATTAGGTAGACAACTCACACTGGCTACATAAACATTTGCACTACTGTTATTCTATCACCTCATTTCAGAATACTATAGCAAATTTTTAAATAGTTACCAAAAAAATTAAGATAAAAACAGAACCAAAAAATATTATTGATAATGAATACTATGGTACAAAGCAGACTTTTTCTTTTTTTAAAGCTGATAACTTTACAAATTACTCAGTTGACAAAGCCTAAGAGAAAATTACACTTTGTAAGTGTTTGGTCTTTATTTCTCTCCTCAGGATTTTTACCATATGATTTATGGAGAAAAAAAAAAAAAGATGAAGTCACTTTACTTCTGAAGAAATTTTCTAGACTCATTTAGGAGAAAAATGGTGTGACTCGCTAAAAAACAGGAGTATAGAGACAGAGGCAGTCTCCTGTCATTTATTCATTCATGTTTACATTCAAGCAAGATACAAATATGTATTGATCACCTATTTTCTGCTTTGTATTGTAAAAGTCCTTTTTTCTGGAACTATCCACATGATCCTCTATAATTAGAGCTGTGTAAATTTTCACAAATTTTATAATTACTTTGAGTTTCATCTCCTGTAAAAAGCTGAACAATAACAATACCTACTTTACAGATATACTATGCAAATGAAATAGGATGTAAGGTGTCTATGCTCAAAAAAATAGGAGCTCCCTTCTGCCTGTAGGTCCCCTACAGATTAGGACAGTCATCAGTGGCTCCCAACCTTTCTATTAAAAAGTCTCTATTCTCTTCCATGGATTTCACGTCTTTAAAGATTTTTGTCTACCAATTGCCTTGACATCTTATTAATCAGAGAAGTAAAAGCTAGTCAAAATTCTCAAACTGCCAAAGACTTAAAAACTAAAAAAAATCCAATGCTCGAATCTTGAAGGGATAAGTACAATACTTTACTCCCTTAACAATCTGCAGATCACTACGATGTCTACTAATGATTTGAGTGATTTGAGTCAATATAATCACTGGTCAAAGAAAAGACACATATTTTACCTGTATAAATCTATTTAGAGTAAATGCACAATTTTTATTTGACTTTCTGTAATACTAGTAATCATTCATTTCTCTCTTTGCAGAATGCTGGGAAAAACAAAATTTCAGGACCATAAATCAGTGATTTTGTGTGTCTAGAGACACTACCGGTTATCCTACAGATTTAAGTGGGTATTACTAGTAACACCATCTTCAAATTCACAGGTTACATATACTTACCAATAAAGAGAAATAATGATATCCAGTGAGTTGTTTCCTATCAACCTCATCTACCAGGCTTTTCCTAGCCTTGTGATAACAAGGGTCTCCTTGTTCTTCCTCAAACATGACTACCCACTTCCCACCTTAGGGCCTTTGCACCAAGTGGGCCCTCTGCCTGGGTCACTCGTCTTATATACTGTTACATGTCTGGCATTTTGTAATTCAGGTGCCACATTAAATATCATCATCTGTCAGCTTTTCCACAACACTCAATTTAAACCCTTTCATCATTCTCTATCATTTCATCTTGCTATAGTTTCTTCATGGCATTTGGGACCTCTGAAATTATCTTATTTACTTGTTTACTGTTTCTCTCTACTATCATCAACCCTTCAGTGGTATAAAAATTACCATGAAAGCATGTCTTATTCACTGATAAATCTCTGGTTCCTAGAATAGTACCAAGCACTCATAATTACTCAATAAATACGTGCTGGATGACTAACCAAACTGTTTATTATTACTGTAGGGAATGACTGATTTCTTAGTCAATAATTTATATTTAGCACTCAAAACTGCTGATTCAAAAGGAGTATGAAAAAAATCTTCTGATAAAGAAAAATGAACATAATAATCTATTCAACCAGTAGGCTTCATTTTATTTTATTTTAATCCTTCGGGATAGAAGGATATAAAGGTCTATTCATGTTTCAAACACTTTGTATGTCACCTCATGTAAAAATTAAATGAACTATCTTATAACAGTATACCATGAACTGCTAGCTACTTAGTTTAATAATTTATTTTCTTCTACCAAGATACAAACATCTTCCTAAAAATGTAAGACAACAGGCCATCACAGTGACAATGCCAGAATGGCCCAAACTAAGGACTATGTTATTCTCTCAGCTATAGCGAAAGGAGTAGGGATGATGATGGGGAGAGAATGATTGTAGTTCAGATTTCATTTGGACAAACAGGCAGAAGTATCCTAAAACCTATTCAAAAGATTCTTATAGTTTGCGACATTAAATCATTGTTTTGAATTTGAATATCTGAGGTCCTTTTAGTAAATGAAATTTCATTCAGCTGACCAGATCTGGGCTTTTGCAGATTCACAAAGGAAAAACACAATATTTGTTTTAAAAAAAAAAAGTCATTTGCTCACAATCCCCAACACTATGAGCTACATTTGCTTATTAATTCAAAAATATTTTCAAGGATACTTTTAAAGGGAAGATATTTGAATAAAAATAATAAGGACTTTATTTCTGAATTTAGGCGATATTTGGAAACTAAAAGAAACATTAAGAAAGGTATGACAACTGACTGTTTTTAAAAAATGCAAACATCGGCCGGGCGCGGTGGCTCACACCTATAATCCCAGCACTTTGGGAGGCCGAGGCAGGTGGATCACGAAGTCAAGAGATCGAGACCATCCTGGTCAACAACGTGCAACCCCGTCTCTACTAAAAATACAAAAATTAGCTGGGCATGGTGGCGCGCGCCTGTAGTCCCAGCTACTCGGGAGGCTGAGGCAGAAGAATTGCTTGAACCCAGGAGGCGGAGGTTGTGGTGAGCCGAGATTGTGCCATTGCACTCACTCCAGCCTGGGTAACAAGAGTGAAACTCCGTCTCAAAAAAAAAAAAAAAAAAAAAAAATGCAAACATCTTAGAAGTATCACAAGCCGATATAATTTTTTAATTGGGGGTTGCTTCTTTTCTCTACTGGAAGACAGCAAGCAGACAATTCACAGTTCATGTGAGTTTACTTATCAGTCAAAAAGAAATACTATTAATATCAATCTCTGACTAACTTGCTTTCTATTATTCAGTCAAGTGGAAAATATGAGTAGAGCTCTAGTCAGGTACTAGAATGACTAAAAATAGCATCTGCAAATTCTTTTTTTAATTAGGAAAATGCATGGGTGAGGGAGAAAATAGGAATATTAAAAGTAATGTTTTTCTAAAGATCATACATCCAATTTCCCATTTTTTTGCTTCTATATTTTACTTAGAAGCTGCTTAACAATCAAGAAGTCTGTATTTCACTTCTCATCACCTCTGCTCACATAACTGGTGTTTTTAAAGTCCTACAGCAATCAAGAATGCTACAACAACCACATGCAGAAGAATTTCACCTTACGGTGAAGTTTTAAGATAATATCTCCTGAAATACAGTCTAAAAGCAAGGATATCCTGTTAACCAAGAACTCAAAACACTAACTAAATAAAATTACTCTAGGAGACTACGCATACATATTTTAAATGCATAAATATATGCTTTTTACTGATAAAAATCATAGGAGCCTTGGAATATGTTATCCCTCGGTTTTTAAAACGGTAGTAACACCCAAAGTGTACTGAAGTCCCGTTCTTCTCTCAAAGGCTGCCTAACTGCATGTACGCCTAGGCTATTTCTTTTGAATTTAATCTCCAAATTGGCTGCACAGATCTTCACAGCTATGAAGCGTAAGCACTTCCCCCCAACACCTCCTTGTTTTCCTCTAAACCCTCAGATCTTACCTTACCTGTGTTACTATTAATCCAGACTCCCTGTCTTCTATCTTTTCCTTCCTCAACTCATTCTGTACGCTACAAGCAAATTCAGTGCTTTTTGATGAAGGCTTTTATCAAGCAATTTCCCTCAAACCAAAACTTGTACTCCCGAAAAAGTCTACACTGCTCAACCTATCATTCAATGGCTTAGAAAGTCTAGCCGGTCTCTATTTCTCCCTTATCTCCATATTTTCTAACTATACAAAAGCCTAGGCTTCTGTCAAATTAATCACCTGTGCTCCAACTTCTCCTGAACTTTCTTTCTTGGCACATGCCATTCCTACCACAAAGAATGTCCACTATTCCCCTCCTGCTTCCACTGCTCACCACAGTCATTTGCATTTCTCTATTTATTGATGTAAACAAGAACACAAAAATGAGATATTTCTTGCCCTTGAGGAGACTGGCAGAAAAAAAACAAATTCAATGAAACGAGCTGGTTTTTATTAAATACCTATGTGCCAAGTGGTCTTACACATTATTTCTAATCCTTTTAACAATCCTACGAGGTAGATATTAATACTCTCCTTTTATAAAAACAAGGAAGCCAAGGTTTAGAAAAATCAAATCGTATGCATATTTAGCAGGTTGCCTCAAATCGTGTACTTGCTAAGTGGCAAAGCAAGGACATGAACCCAGGCTGCCTAACTCCAGAGCTACTGCTCTAAAAACTAACTGATCTTTTTGTTTGTTTTTTTCAAAGTCAGAACCATGTAACTACCCCCTTCATCTATCTGAAATAACCTAGTTTTACATAATATTTCTACTTATACGATACAACAAGCTTTCTCATGTTTGTCATTTTAATAAAGAACATTAAAATTCTAGCTCTCCAAAAAAATTTAAAAAAACAACGCTCAAATTGCAACTTTAATTGTAATTTTTTTTTTTTTGTCACAGATTACTTTTACCTAAACTATTTCTAAAGAAACTCATTTCAATAAGCTTTCTGGAAGATAACCACAAATCCCTTTCATACACTATGATGGTTTTACAAATTATTAGTAATATGAGGATTTTTGCTATTACCACCCAAGAATGTAACAGGTATCTATCACATCGGCAAAGACTGTAAAAACTGACCTACTCAATGCCATTGAAGGTGCAGTGAGACACACACTCTTATACACAGGGTAACCACCCTCTGATCCAGTTATCCCACTTCTGGGAATCTATCCTACAGGAAGAAAAAAAAACAAAGATGCAATCAAAGATAAATGTACAAAAATGTCTGTTCCAGTGTTATTTAAAATAGTAATATTATAAAGAACCAACCTTAAAGTCTCACACTAGAAGACCAACATCCCATTCAGAAAAAAAAAGTAGGATCAAAACAGTATATATAAAGCTATAATTCTAATTCTCATTTAAAAAAAACTGTACATGCAAGGAAAAAACTGGAAAAATTCACATTAAAATGTCAGTGGTAACCTTTTCTGGATCATGGGATCATAGGTGTTTTCAATTTCTTCTTTACACTTAACATTCTTTTCAAAATTTGCCACAGTATAACATGAATTACTTTAATCAGAACAAAAACAAATGTTTAAGCAGTTATAACCACTGAAATGATCCTGAACCTAACAAGGGTATATTACTTGGAATAAGAAATACATCGCCTAGTGCAAAGAAAACGTCAGACTTGTTTTGTTTCCAGCTTCTATTACGCTCACCTTTACTTTCAAGTTGTGTAAAGAATGTCATCCAAAACTGAGTAGTACCTGTATTTATCAAACTGCACAAGGCCCACTTTCTAAACGTCAGCCGATGCTCCAAAAGAACCACAGTTAGATGGACTATTGTATTTTATATGTCTACTGAGAATAATACATGTCCAATTAATCCTAACTCAAAACGTGCAAAATGGAAAAAACAGAAAAATTGTTCTCATTTTGCAAACTAAATATATTATTGTTGCCTTATAAGCACATCATAATTAAGTCAGAAAAGAATCTTGAAAATAAAACATTCACTAAAAATGCACATTTATGCATGTTGTCTATTTGCACATTTCTGTCCTAGCAGATAGTTGACTTTAGTGGCAAAGGATGATTTTAATCAGTATAGAAAAAAATATTAACATGCCATTCTATAAAACAACTTCTGACATTAAACAGAGAATTTAAATTGATAGCTGAACCAGAAAACAACTTCCCTATAATGTGGTGTGTATATACATGCGCGTGTGTGTGTGTGTGTGTGTAAGTATATATATGTATACATATGCAGAAAAGCTATTTACAAACAAATACGTCTTGGACTTAAGTAAAATAGGCAGTAAAGCAAACAATTCTTATTTAACTCTATTTTAAACAACTAAGAAACTGATTTGGTCTAAGAAGCTGTTAGAAAACGAGACCACAGAAATAGCTGTTCACTGGCCAGGCGTGGTGGCTCGCGCCTGTATTCCAAGCACTTTGGAGGCCAAGGCGGGTGGATCACCTGAGGTCGTGAGTTCAAGACCAGCCTGACCAACATGGTGAAACCCTGTTTTAAAAAAAAAATTTAAAAATTAAAAATTAGGCCAGGCGCGGTGGCTCAAGCCTGTAATCCCAGCACTTTGGGAAGCTGAGGCGGGTGGATCATGAGGTCAAAAGATCGAGACCATCCTGGTCAACATGGTGAAACCCCGTCTCTACTAAAAATACAAAAAAAAAAATTAGCTGGGCATGGTGGCGCGTGCCTATAATCCCAGCTACTCAGGAGGCTGAGGCAGGAGAATTGCTTGAACCCAGGAGGCGGAGGTTGCGGTGAGCCAAGATCGCGCCATTGCACTCCAGCCTGGGTAACAATAGCGAAACTCCATCTCAAAAAAAAAAAAAAAAATTTAAATAAATTTTTTAAAAAATAGCTGTTCACTGACTAAGAGAATTTGAAATGTTCACAATTTATTCTACTTAAAAAGTGAATATCATTCTATTTTCACTCTATCATGAAAATACAACCTTGATTTGTAAAACATATGATAGGCTGTGGCAAACAAAATAAACTGCTAGACCATAAATTCCTTAAAGCAGAAACTACACCTTCACATATCAGTATCCATCAAACAGCCTAATATGGGATTACTAAAACATCCGTTCAATGACTGAATCTGAAATCTATCAATGAAATTATGAATTAACTGTGGTGGCACACGCCTATAGTCCCAGTTACTCAGGAGACAAGGCAGGAGGATAGCTTGAGCCCAGGAGGTGGAGACCAGTGTGGGTGATATAGCAAGACTCTGAAAGAAAAAGGGAAATGGAAAGAAAAAAGAAAGGAAGTTAAAGAAAAGAAGGAGGGGAGGGGAGGGGCGGGAAGGGGAGAGGGAAATTATGCAACTTTTGCACAAGCATAGGATGGAATTTAAAGGGTAGTTCCAAAGGTATCAATAGATTTGGGCTAGATTGTTAACTGTATAAAACTGAAAGATTAGTGTTAAATTTCAACTGCTACAATATTTAACTTAGTGCCTTCTTGCTTAATGTTTTATAATATAGCCAATTTGTCTAGAATAGAATTTTAAAATATCACTGAAAATACAGTGAGTGAATTTACTCTCTGGATTACACATCTGACATATCTAAAATGTACTGTCAGCAATAAGAGATTTCCACCATTAACTTAGAGTCATATAAACTGCATTTGGGATACATCTAAATAGTTGTATCCAGTTCTTTGTGCCTCTTTTTATAGTTTTGTCTTTGCTAAAGACAAAAACCAAACAAACAAAAAAGAAAACAGCTAAAAAACAAAAACAAAACCACAGTCCTATCACGAACAAAATTATCTTTTACATCCAGAATAAGTGGGGACAGCACTGTACTGCAAAAAAAAAAAAAAAGTGAATAACATGTTATAGGTGCACACAACTATGAGTTCAAGGTAAGGCACTTCAAGTTTTAATTAACCCAGCAGTATCTTTTATTAGTTTTTTTAGTTTCATATACTGCTATTCTTATGAAATATAGCCTAATTTAAATACATTCCAACATTAAAACATACAATTACATATTCAATTTTAAATTTGGTTAACTTAAACACTTCAAACCACTCTATCAGTGTGAACTAAATAGTTTAGAGACAAGAAACATTGGGAAAATTTGAGTGATTTATAAAGAAATTTTTTTCTCAGATTTATCTAACCTAAATTTATGTAGCCTAAGTAAGTAAGTCATTAGTGTTTTCTTTTTCTTTCTTTCTTTTCTTTTTTTTTTTTTTGAGATGGAGTCTTACTCTGTCGTCCAGGCTGAAGTGCAGTGGCAAGATCTTGGCTCACTGCAACCTCTGCTTCCCAGGTTCAAGCAATTATCCTGCCTCAGCCTCCCAAGTAGCTGGGATTACAGCTGCGTGCTACCACACCCCACCAACTTTTTAATATTTTCTGTAGAGATGGGGTTTCATCATGTTGGCCAGGCTGATCTTGAACTCCTCACCTCAAGTGATCCGCCTGCCCTGGCCTCCCAAAGTGCTGGGATTACAGGCATGAGCCACCTGCCAATCAGTGCTTTTAAAAAAGCCATTAACTTGTCTACTGATTGGTGTTCATTTCACAAACCATTTAATTTTCCGTGTGTACATCATATACTTTTGAAAATTTTGTTAAAAGAATTCTTTAAAACCACTTATAAAAACACACTATTTCCTGTTTCAACTCTACCTTAGTAACCATACACAATTTCCTTTTTTCATTGGTGCATGTGTGTATGCATATTTGTACCTTCTACCTCTAAAAGGCCTATTTTCAAGCGGAAATGAGAGCAGGGCATGGTTCTCTGTTGAATTGCCTTGTTGATCAGAACATCATGAGAGTGAACAAAGCTAAGCTTATAGGTTCAATACTCATCTGGATCATTTAACTTTGAAACAAAGGGCCCTCTTAACTAGTCATCTCACAACTGTGCAGGGGACTGAGAGAATGAATTACGCAGTGCAAATCTACACCACTAGTACAAAAGTTTCAAAATGTAAGTGAGCTAATATTATCTTTGTATATGAAAAACTGAAAAGCACATAAAAACTACTGCTTTTTTTTGAGACAAAGTCTCGCTCGTTAGCCCAGACTGAGTGCGATGGTACAATCTCAGCTCACTGCAACCTCCGCCTCCCAGGTCCAAGCTATTCTCCTGTCTCAGCCTACTGAGCAGCTGTGACTACAGGCGCCTGCCACTTCGCCTGGCTAACTTTTTTGTAGTTTTTAGTAGAGACGGGGTTTCACCATCTTGGTCAGGCTGGTCTTGAACTCCTGACGTCATAATCCACCCACCTCGGCCTCCCAAGTGCTGGCTGACAGGTGTGAGCCACCATGGCCAGCCTAAAACTACTGCTTATAATCCGCAAACTTCACACACATGATTAAAGAAAAAATGGACACTTCATCAGTCTCAGTAACATACTAAAGCTTAAATATTTTTTTAATGCTAATCTTCATAAGATATGAATCTGGCATTAAGTAACGCAGCAATTATATGACATCAGAATAAGCAAAAAATACTTTGAAATATGCTGTAACTCTTCTTACAACTGAATAGGCCTAATCAATTAATTATTATACCCAATTAATTTGAAAAGGGACATTATCAACAAGTAAACTTACATTCACAATTTGAAATGCATCCCAATATTAAAATATAAATGCTTTACATTAGTTATTTTTGACCATCTAAAATAAGAGAATTTTTGGAATCAGGAGATTAGAAATTATCTGAGGTTCAATGAACATTTACAGTGTCCCTATCACATCAGAAACACAGCAAGGTGTTTTCAAGGAACTCAAGTGGTTTAACCCGCTCCTTTGTGTAGATGTCAAAGCTCGCCACCTATGCCAGATCAAGCTATCCAGATTCCAGAACCAGAAATTCTGGGCAAGGCCCTCAGTGGTATAATTTTCTATCAAAACAGACTCGTATCATCACCCCCTATAAACCAAGTAAAATTTCAAAGATGCAATGTTAACCTATTTAACAAAAGCAATAGTCTTTTTTTTTGAACAACTATAAAGAATTACAATTAAAACTCAACTGTGAGTCTTCAACTAAGTACCTGTATAATTTACTGCAAAGAACAAAACATGGGGCTGTCACAGCTATGAAATTCTAAAAACATCATGCAAAACGGAAATTAAACGAATTACAGATAACCATTAAAAATCCCTTTGTTGATGCGCACAGTGGCTCATGCCTGTAATACCAGCACTTTAGAAGGCGAAGGTGGCCGGATCACTTGAGGTCAGGAGTTTGAGGTCAGCCTGGCCAACATGGGGAAACCCCATCTCTACTAAAAATTAAAAAAAAAAAAAAAAAATTGATAGGCCAGGCACAGTGGCTCTCGCCTGTAATCCCAGCACTTTGAGAGGCCGAGGTGGGCGGATCACCTGAGGTCAGGAGTTTGAGACCAGCCTGGCTAACATGGAGAAACCCTATCTCTTTTTAAAAATATATATATATACATATAAAATAATAATAAATTTTTTTAAATTGGCTGGGCGTGGTGGGAGACACGTGTTATCCCAGCTACTCAAAAAGCTGAGGCAGGAGAATCACTTGAACCCAGGAGGCAGAGGTTGCAGTGAGCCAAGACTGCACCATTGCACTTCAGGCTGGGTGACAGAGCAAGATTCCTTCTCAAAAAAATTTTTTTAATTTTTAAAAATATCCCTTCGTAAGGAAAAAAAAGCAATTACCAACATGAACATTTGGATGTCTAATCCCTATTTTAAAAGATCATCGACCATACACTAAAGTTCATGGATAACAGTAAACACTCACAAGGTCTAGAGTGACTTAAGTATTACAATACAAATCGTAACAGATATGGGCAGAGACACTCTCTGATTCATCTCTATATCCAACAATTACTACCCTGTTGCTGAATGTTGAAGAGAGGTAAGCTAACATCCAAACTTTAAATGTAAGCTCTTGAAAAATTCAACCTAACAATCTGAAAGATCTCTTTTTATGACTGACACTATTTTTTAAATGTTAAATGATAATGTCCAATGCAACTGTAAAAATGACATTACCGTGAAATGTTTACCAACAATTGTGGCTGTCAAGATCAGTATAACCTAGTCTTAAGAGTAAGGTGATGGGGACAGAAACAGTGGCAGGGAAGGGCAGTAAGGGAAGACCTGAGACTGGTGCAGTGACGGGAAGGAAGTTAGGATATGTACAATCTTGAGGAAAAAGGTTACAGGTAGAGAAGACAGCAAGTGTAGACACCTGAGTGTAGCTGACCTTGAGAACTAGGAGGCCAGTGTGGTTGGAGTACAGCAAGCAAGAGCAAAAGTAAAGGGACTTGATATTACAGAAATAGCTGAGGTGGGCTGGGCCCGGCGTGGTGGCCCCCGCCTATAATCCCAGCACTTTGGGAGGCTGAGGCGGGTGGATCACCAGGTCAAGAGATCGAGACCATCCTGGTCAACAAGGTGAAACCCTGTCTCTACTAAAAATACAAAAATTAGCTGGGCATGACGGTGCACGCCTGTAGTCCCAGCTACTTGGGAGGCTGAGGCAGGAGAATTGCCTGAACCCAGGTGGAGGAGGTTGCGGTGAGCCGAGATCGCGCCATTGCACTCCAGTCTGGGTAACAACAGCGAAACTCCGTCTCAAAAAAGAAAAGAAAGAAAGAAATAGCTGGGCTGCTGTAAGTCTTGCATGCCATGGTAAGAACTTCGGATTTTTACTGTGAATGAGATGGGAAAACACTGGACAGTTGTGAAAACAAGAGAGACTTGCTCTGACTTAAATTTGTGAGCATCATTGTAGCTGCTGTGTGGAAATCAACTTGGGGTGGAGGGGCAAGAGTGGAAGCCGGAAGATCAATTAGGAGATTAATAATCTTCAATTCTAACCTTTTTCAGTGATTGCAAAATTGTGTATCTTCATGCTGTTGGACATATAGTTTCCTTTTCTTCCCATCTATTAAAGTAATTAAACGAACATGTGCATATACAACATTTTCTTTCTCTTGGAATCTTTCCTTGGGGATTTATTCCCAGAAGGACTACAGGATCAATGTATACGAATATACTTAACTTCTGGGGTATATTAAGTATAGATACTGTCCTTCCTGAGGCCATACAAAAAGTGAACAAAGACTTTTGAGCTGTTTTAATATGAATTGGGCAACACTCAGGGATTCCATCCAGTTCACTTTTAAGACAGATGGTCATGGTTGGCCTCAGAGGGTCCCTAACACTAATGCAAAATTTTGTGAATAAATGCCTATTAACTTTTTTCTGAGGAGAGAGTTTATATATTTCAACATATTCTCAAAGGTGTCAGTGGCCTAGAAAAGGTTAAGAATTACTATTTTACAAACTGGAAGTGGAATGCAATATCCTAATATAGGGTACCTCTCAAAAGGACGGAAGATTTAACACCTAGACTCATCTTGGTAATCATTCAATTCATTCAACAAATACTGAACATGTATGATCCGCAGTACCTTACAGCTGATCGTATCTGAAGTAGACCATAATTTAAACACCCAGGAAACTAGACAAGAGTCCCTGAAATATATACAAAAGAATATCAAACTATATAATTTCAAAACAAAAATGTTACAGGAACTAATAATAAAGACAGAAAGTCTGGGGCCTAATTTAATGCTTATTATGTCAAAGTATCACAGAAATAAATTACATCACAAGTAAAGAAAACTACACATAGGCATGTCCACCCCCACACATTCTGACAGGAAACCCAAAGAAAGTTTCCAAATCCTGTTTCCAGCAGCATCTCTTCTGAGACAGCCCTTCACACTTTTGAAGGTAGGAGCCCCAAGTTAAATCTAAGAGCTGATACTTTACGCTTACTGTAATAACAAAACCATCATCCACCACCTAAGAAGGAGAAAAGAGTGGCTACCTGCAGGGCTGTGGTCCAATCACCTTCTGCTCTATTATTCTATTTCACTTCCTATGCCTCCTACCTTCAAGGAAGGAACAAAATGATTTTCCCTCCCGAAACAGAATGCATTACTCCTCAACAGTAGTTCTTTTTCCAAGAGGTCAAAGGTTCCCTAAACTCTGGTTCTCAGCCCTGTGAGGAGATCCCATTTGGCAAGCACAAATGTCTTCCTCTCATCTTCTCCCCGTAGCAGTAAATTACACAATTCGGCTGAAGACACCGTCCTTAACTTCCTGAGTAAGAGGGGCAAGAGATGCTCTTACCAACGTTAGTTTGAAAGATTACAAGAATCACACTGTGACCTCTTCCCTAACAAAATTCAGGGAAGAAGCAGAGACTCATGAAAAGTAACATTGAAGAAGCGAACACATGGTAAGCTACGGAAGACCTGGGGGTAAAGAAGGCGGGAAAGGGGCTAGAAGGTGGAGTGGGATGTAGAGATGTCAGCCCTATTCACTGGGGGAATAAAGGAAGGAAAAGGAGACCCTGAACCCTGACAGAAGTGAACACGGACATAGCAACGCTCCAACCGGTCCGCACTTCTACAGCAGAGGACAGAGGACAGAGAATTCACCCAACCCTCCAACCCCCTCCCCGTGTGCCCCGCCAAAAGGGAGAGGTGGGTTGGAAAGGAAGCTCTGACCCTAGACAGGGGACATGCAAGAGAGGAAGGCAGCGACGTCCAACCTTCTAAGTCTCTCAGGCAGTGATGGGCGAGGGCACCAAGTCTGGGGAGACGGCAAGGGAAATGGGCTTGTGCTATGACACCTCGGGGAGTTGAAGGGTGGGGGACACAATGTCCTCTTTCTCTCCCACAGCCGGCCGGGGCCCCTCCCGACGATCTCCCGCAGGCCTACAGTCGACCGGGTCGGTCCGCGGGCGTGGTTGGCTCTGGCCCTGGCGGTGGCCGGGCCTCCCTGATCTCCGGCCCCTCCCGCCGGCCAGGCCCCCGGGCCGCCGCCCCGGACACCGATGGAACGCGGAGGAGGAAGGGGGAGCCAGGCGACTGACCGGCGACATGAGCCGCCTCACCATCGGCTCCGCCGACCCGCGCCCCCCGCTCCCTCTGGGACAGTCTAGGGCTCCCCGCCCCTCACTCACCCCCCTGGTCCGGCACCTCCTCCACCTCCTCCTCCTCCTCCTCCTCCTCCTCCTCCCTCCTCTCGCCCGTGGCTCCTGCTCCGGCTCTGCGCGGCGACGGCAGCAGCGGCCTCGGGAGCGGCGGCGGCGCCTCCTCCAGAACGCGCACGCACGCAGCACGCATCCCCGCCCCCTAATTCTGTCCCGCCCCTCCAAGTGAGCCGCGAATGGGCTTCGGCCCCGCCTTCCCCGCGGCGTTCCGGAGTCCGCTTAAAGGAGCCGCGCACTTTAAGCGGGGAGCGGGGAAGTCCTGGAACTACCGGGAAGGGGCGGGGAATTTTAGCTTTGCACACAGGCGGAATGGGAGGTGGGTAAGACCGGAAAAAAAATGAGGAAGGGTCCAAAGATTCAAGAAGAAAATTTGGAGGGAACGCAAGCATTCGACAAGAACTGAGCACCTGTTAGGTGCCAGGCGGTGTTCTAACTAAGCGCAAAGGGATCAAGCCATAGACAGGCAAAGACCCTCCTGCAGCATGCTTGCTAGTGGAGTGGGAGAGGGGATACAGACAACAAACAAGTGACAAAAACTGCAGGTAGTGATAACTGGTGTGGAGGAAAATAAACGGGAGATAGGGTGACTTTACACCTGGTCAGATACTGCGTCTCCAAGACCTTTGAGCCCATACACACGGTATGAAGGAGTAAGTCTTGCAGACACGGGGGCGGGGAGGACGAATAGCCTTTTCCAGGCTAAGAGAAAATCAGCCATAAACCCAGAGGTAGGGATATGCCTGCCATGTGCAGAAACAGTGAAAGGCCGGCGTGGCTGTGCAGCGTCAGCCAGCCCGAGAGCAGTACCAGCTAGGCTCAGAGAGGTGGGCCAGTGGCCAGATCCAGTGAAACCTGTGGGCCTTATAACAGGAACTGGAAACCATAGTAGGAGGGTGAGCTGAGGAATGACCGCATCTGATTCACATTTTTAAAAGTTAGTCTTGCTGATGTGTGTAAAATACACAATGGGGAAAGCACAGATGTCCTTGGGTTACCAGTACGGTAGCTTGGATTAAGTAGCCTGGCAGCCATGGACAGGATGAGAAGGCTATTTTATTGTATTTAGATACATTATAATTAGAATGGATTTGGATTTGGGGCATACTGTGTGAAAGAACAAAAGGAAATCAGAGTTGATTCTTATGTTCCCGCCAGATGACTGATTTAATGGTGGTGCCATTTAATGAAAAGGAGGCGCAGATTTGGGGATGGGGAAATCAAGAGACTTTTTTGCACATGTTATATTTAAGGTACCCGTTCGGCCGGGCGCGGTGGCTCAAGCCTGTAATCCCAGCACTTTGGGAGGCCGAGGCGGGTGGATCACGAGGTCAAGAGATCGAGACCATCCTGGTCAACATCGTGAAACCCCGTCTCTACTAAAAATACAAAAAATTAGCTGGGCACTGTGGCGCGTGCCTGTAATCCCAGCTACTCAGGAGGCTGAGGTAGGAGAATTGCCTGAACTCAGGAGGCAGAGGTTGCGGTGAGCCGAGATCGCGCCATTGCACTCCAGCCTGGGTAACAAAGAGCGAAACTCCGTCTCAAAAAAAAAAAAAAAAAAAAAAGGTACCTGTTATACATCCAAGCCGGGATGTTGAATAAACAATTGATATGAGTCTAGAGAGATACATTTGAGATCCATTAGCACATAGATGCTTTTTAAGTCTTAGGTCCCCTTAGGATCACATAGGGAGAGGAGGTAGCTGGAGGAAAGGGCCAAGAGGCACTCTAACATTTGGAGATTAAGTAGAAAAAAAGAAAGAGCTACCAGTCAGGGCAGGAGGAACACCAGGAGAAGGTGAAAAATTGGAAAACAAGAGAATTGTTTCAGGAAGGATGAAGTCATGAGTCTTACCAGATACTGCTAAATGAGTGAGATAAGGACTGAGAATTTGAACACTGGATTTGGCCTGATGAAGTTGCAGATGACCTTGATGAAAACAGTTTAGTGGAGCCATGAGGAGAAAGTCTGATTAGAGTGTGTTAATAGGATGGGAGATGAGGAAGAGAAAGTGTTCTAAACAGCTTTTGAGAAACTTTACCGTGAAGGAGAAAAGGGCAGTAGCCAGAGGGGTACTTGGGATTGAGGGAGAGCATTTTAAGACAGGAAATGCTTATTCTCATGTTGGTATGCTAGAATGATTCTTTAGAGAGGTAAAACTGATGACACAGAATGCAAGAGGAGACAACTGGAGAAAAAGGGTCCTCAAGTAGGTGAGAAGCAATTGGATCTAGCACAGAAGTGAAGAGGTTGGCCTAGGATAGGAGTAAGGCATTGCACTCACATGCTACTTCTGTAGAGAAGGTAGAGTGTCTGGATGCAGATGCAGATAGATTAGGCAGTACATTTGCTGGTGGCACACTCAGGCCCCTACAGAGCAGAGGCGGCAGATGGGAGCTGAAATGTAGCCCTTGTTTTGCTCACCAAGCCATGTGCCCTGGTGGGGCCACATCAGCCTGGAGGAAAGGGCACTTTCCGATTGCTCCACCAGGAGAGGTGATGCATTTTAGCAGTCTTTCGTATATGACACACACGTGCATGCACACATGTATGGACCTTTTCCCAGTTTCCACTGAGTGCTGTAAGTGCTGGCTGCCTCACTGGGATTGATGAGGTAAGATCTGTTCTTTATGCACTGATAAAAGAAGGTGAGAAATAATTTCCTTGAAGAGTGGAAAAGTGACTAGAGAAGCATAGTATGGACATAGCTGAAGGCCCTCTTGAGTTGATGACCATACTTTTTTTTTTTGAGACAGAGTCTTGTCGCCCAGGCTGGAGTGCAGTGGCACCATCTCGGATCACTGCAACCTCTGCCTCCCGGGTTCAAGTGATTTTCCTGTCTCAGCCTCCCGAGTAGCTGAGACTACAGGCACGTTCCATCACACCGGGCTAATTTTGTGTGTGTGTGTGTGTGTGTGTGTATTTTTGTAAAGACAGGTTTTCACTATGTTAGCCATGATGGTCTTGATCACCTGACCTCGTGATCCACCCACCTTGGCCTCCCAAAGTGCTGGGATTATAGGCATGAGCCTGGCCCATGGTCATACATTAAAGTGAGACCACTCTGCAAGGTTGTGTGATTCTCCTCCAGACACACTCTATCGTTTGGGGGTTAAAGGATTATATTTGACCAGGCCTGGGTTTTGCTGGGGAAAGTCAATGAGAGGGATAGGAGAACTGTGTAAGGGAGTGATGATAGTGATAGAGCTTGGAATCCAAGCTGGGAGGGAAGAGAGGGCAAGTAAAAAGTGGTGGAGTCAATGGTTTAGTGTGGTCCCTGTGAGCAGTAGCTGGAGAGGAAGTAATCAAATAAGTGAGGGCAAGGGGACTTTCCAAAGGTTGAGCATGGGGAAGGGTGAATAACGTGGTTAGGGGAGAGGAAGCACAAAGTATCTGTCAGAAAAAAGTTCAGGCAGGCGCCAAGGAGCTAAGAAAACAGCAAAGCCCTTGGGCGCTTGCTCTCATCATGGTATATGTGAACCGTTGGTTTAGAGAGGTTGAGGAATTGGATTGCCCACTCATAATCTTCAGGGAGCTCCGCAGACAGGAGAAACTGAGTGCAGGAGGGGATAAACCAATTAGACCCTCCCAGGGCTCCTTTACAAGCTTTGGGAGAGCCCAGCAGGCACTTTGCTTTCCTTGCCCTTTCCTTTCACCAGGGATACCTGAGCGTTTGTGTTGGCACTTTATCCGGCCTGGTATTTGACAGAAACTAAACAACACCTTTCTTCCTAAATCCAGCCCCTCCTCCTCCTGACTTCCTCTTTTCTGTTCATGGCACTACCTTTCTCAGTCACTCAGCTGCCAAACAGAACCTCCAATCCGTCTTCCTCATCCTGCCCCCAATTAGTCCCTAAAGCACAGCGAGCTGCACTGTCCAATAAACAGTGCACTATGACGGAAGTGTTCTTTATCCACATAGTCCAATACAGAAGTCACATATGGTTATTGAGCACTTAAAATGCAGCTAATGCAACTGAGGAACTGAATTTTTTTTTTTTTTTTTGAGACAGAGTCTCACTCTGTCGCCAGGCTGGAGTGCAATGGTGCCATTTCAGCTCACTGCAACCTCTGCCTCCCAAGTTCATGCAATTCTCCTGCCTCACCCTCCAGAGTAGCTGGGGCTACCTGCGTTCACCACCACATCCAGCTAATTTTTGTATTTTTAGTAGAGACAGGGTTTCAACATGTTGGCCGGGATGGTCTTGATCTTTTGACCTCGTGATCCACCCACCTCAGCCTCCTGAAGTGCTGGGATTACAGGCTTAAGCTACCACATCTGGCCTGAATTTTAAATCCTATTTAATTTTAATTAAAGTTACATTTAAAGAGCCTTGACTCGGAGCCACTATATTGGACTGCCCAGGTATAAATACTGTACTTTCTACACAATGGCTCTTCCTCTTGCCCCCACCTCTCTAGCTCTATTGCCACTACCCTAGGTCATGTATTGGTTAACCTAGGTCGAGACTTTTGCTGTGCTCTCCTACTTAGTCTCCTGCTTATTTGCCTTCCTTTCAGTCCATCTTGTGTTCTTGCCAAAACCATCTCTCTAGAGCATTGGCCAGATCATGACTCCACCCTATTTTAAAAACTATCAGTATTTCCCCGTCACATTTGGTACAGACTGGTCGATCTGGCACTTGCCCAATCATGTCTCTCCTTCCCACTTTTCTAGCCTTACCTTTCACTATACCCTTACACGTATATCAAACTACTTGCTGTAACTCCTGCTAACTTTTTACAAAGGAGTCAACTTATTAAGCTGCCTCTCTACCGCAAAAAACGCCTCCCTTCCCTCTGTCAAACCTAAAATCTGTTGAAATCCTTGAAGGTCCGTCTCACATTGCAGCTCCTGAGTGGAGCCCTCCTCCGAAGCCCTGTAGTTCCTATTCATTCGTCATCTATGGCACCTATGTGCTGCCTTACAGTGCATTTTATGTATTCATTTTATTCTTATTGCTAAATATTATTCCTTGCAAGTAACTGTGTTTTAATTATGTTAATGCCCCTTGCAGTATAAAGAGCACCTTGTAAAATAAGGTACTCTGCGAAGAGTCACTGAATGTAGTTCTGTGGCGCATCCATACCCCTGTCTAACTC